GATCCGAACCCTCGGACAGGAGCGCTGCCGCGCTTCCCAAGCGGCGCACTATCCAGTGCGCAACCGGGCCGGCCCTCAATGCTCAACTTTTCTGAATCACTTTTATACTCAAGAGTTGTAGGTGTCAAGGTTTTCCATGCAGTATTTTCTTTTATGCTATCAAGACCCTTGGTAATGAAGCATTTCTTAAAAGAGCACACAGGGCCTGCCAGAGGGTCAACAGCAACTGTAGGACACCATTAATTGTAAGATGCATCCTGATTTAAAGAGATGTTAAAATGTGAAAAAATGTGCATCTTAATATTGATGAAATGCAATACCCGAAAGTAAACTATTTGTTGGCTAATTGAAGCTGGGTTATCACAATGAATACACTTGATGTTATTCATAATTAGTCAGTTAATTATCTTCTAGTTATGAAATTGTGGGTAAGCATACTTCTCTTCTCCAAATGTCTCAAGGAAATAAGGAAGACAATATAGTAGTCCCTAGTATTGTGGTTACATTATTACCATTTAATAACAGTGGAAATTTTTGTTCTGTAAGTCTGAAGGGTACAGGAGTACTTTTGTATTTCAGAGATAACTTGGTTGGTAACTATCTGGGTCACAACTAAAAATTTTGAATGTAATTTAAAAAATCTAATAAGCAAATATAATCATGAAAAAGATCACAAAGTAAAACCTAAGACCTTACTGAGAAACTGATTACTCTTGAGTCACAGCTTTGAAGAAGCTACATAGCCTTTTCTTTATCTAAGTAGATGAGAAGCAGCAAAAAGAGTGGACTTTTAAAAATGAGAGGGTTGGAGATAGGATGACAATGTAAAGGCAAGTACAACGATAGCAACAAAAAAAAACTATCAGAGGAAAAAGATAAAACTATAAAGAAATCGGGGAAAGGAAGAGTAATAGTTGGGAGCCATTAGATAAGGGCAAACAACTCTATATACTTCAAAGCACTCCAGATGGTTAGGCTATCTAAATGAGTAAGTTACGGTCCCTGTAGCAATCTTGGTTGCCTATCTTGCCTCTAGCTCCAACCCCTTTCCCCCCCTTCCAAACAGATGCTTGACTGTGTTTCATGCATCTACCCCTCTTCTGTAACGCAATATGCTTTGGAGAATTGGCCCCACCTCCACCAGATGATACTGCTTGGTTAATACCAGTGGTTTTCAAACTGAGAGTTATGATCAATTAGTGAGTCATAAAATTAATCTGGTTTGCCTACAGCATAAAAAAAAAAAATAAAAAATAGACTACATACAGCACATCACACATATCCTTAACGTGGAATGAACAGTACAATAAATAATGCAGCCAATTAAGACTATTATGTGAGAGGAATAAA